GCTGTGTGCCTTCCTCTCCATTACATGGTTATCATGAACAGAAGACTTTGTGCTACACTTGCAACTCTTGCTTGGACCATTGTGTATATATTTTCAATGCCCATTATTTTGATGATTTCTTCGTTACAATTCTGTAGTTCCCGTATAATAAATCACTTCTTCTGTGATCTCATACCTTTACTGCAGCTCTCATGTTCTGATATCTTTGTGGCACAGGCCACCATGTACACAGCGGCCGGATTGATGGTTTGTCCCTGCTTTATGCTGACTCTTATTTCTTATCTCTTCGTTGTCTACACCATTCTGAATATTCGCTCTACAGAGAGAAGAGTGAAAGCCTTCTCTACCTGCTCCTCTCACCTCACTGTTGTGACTCTTTTGTACCTGATTATTTTCTTTGTATACATGAAGCCTCCATCACACACATCTTTAAGCAGCAGCAAAGTGCTATCGTTTTTTAATGTAGCTCTGATTCCTGTTCTTAACCCAGTAATCTACAGTTTTAGAAATAGAAGCATAAAACTGGCTCTTTTGAGATTTTTCAGGAGAAATTTCATATCGAACAATAAATTCAATAGAAAGTAACCGTCCGTCCACCCACTCTCCCACCATTCTATCAATGTATCTGTCTATCTATCTATCTATCTATCTATCTATCTGTCTGTCTGTCTGTCTGTCTGTCTATCTATTTTCCAACTTATATATCTTGATGTTGAGAAAACTAATATTGCCTAATTCTGGCCCATATGAAACATTTTGTAACTGAAAGCTGCAATGTCCAAATCCATAATCCATTAACCTATGGGAGGGCAACTGTATAGAGAGTATTGAGGGCAGCTGCTACCCAGCACAATGCTAAGCTATTAACGTGTAACTGTATTCTTATAATTCTTATTGTATTACAGTTCTTACAATGTTAGAATATTATTTTTTTATATAAAATGAACAAAAGGAGATGAGTTTACTGGTTTGAATTTGGGATATATGCTTACTCTTTGTTTGCGGTTGCCCCCAGGCCAAATATAGCCAGCCCTCCTCTGCTACATATCTACATATATCAAAGATGTTCTATTGTAAGTATCAGGAATGTTGTGTGTTGAGTGATGAGACATTTTCCATCTCGATTAGCGGATGACAGAATAGAGAAAATATTTACCTATATAATCTATTTTCATGTTTAACCATTAACCCCTTAAGGACCAAACTACTGGAATAAAAGGGAATCATGACATGTCACACATGTCATGTGTCCTTAAGGGGTTAAACACAAATGTGTCTGTTAGTATGGGAGGACAATATGAAATGTTGCAGGTAGTCGCTGCTTTAAAGACAGTAGACATACTCAATATGTCCATGCTAATTAAGATATTATTATTTAAATATAAAAAAGTCAGATTTAGGCCTCAATTTAATTATAGTCAATCATGCGTATCGATTTAATTACAACGGTTAAAGGCTTTTCGGGGGCTAACCTTTTGCATATTGAGTGTAAAGCCTATATACATATATATATTTTTTAAATATATTTTTAAACAACGGATAGGTATTATGCCATATTATTTTAGAAATCAATGTATATTTCATGCATGCCATTAATACCTTTATCATCATTTATTTCTTTCCATTCTTTCGGTTGCTCCTTTTCTCTCCCCTTTTCTTCCCCTTTCCCCATTTCTTCTTAAAAAACTATCTTTATTTAATCTAATGTAAAATTCCCTAATCTTTCTCTTCCTCAGTCCTAAATCTATCCTCCATCCATCTCCCACCCCCTATTGCTTTCTCTTTGTATTCTGGAGCCTATATTTTACAATGAAAATAATTAATCCATGTGTTATAATTATAATTATTATTATAAAGTGTCAACAAATTCCACAGTGCTGTCCAATAGGCGGACTAACAGACACGTATTTGTTACAAGAGGAGTTGGACACACAGGAACAGAGGGTGTTGAGGGCCCTGCTCAAACTAGCTTACATTCTTTAAAAATTATACTTAACATCAAAAGTCTTCTTAAATCTTATTTTTTTCAGCCCCAAAAAAGGCCTAAATAAATCCATAATGTCCTTACACAACTCTTGAAATAAAAAATGATCCAAAACGCCCACCCAAAAAAACAATTTAAAAAATTTCAATGCCCTAAAAATGAATCTATTTCCGCCCATGGAGGTCCCCACACGCACGCCTTTACAAGCCTCTCCCATGCTATGCAATCTCAGAGAAAGTGCTCTGGTTGGTTGGCTTGTGGCAGTTAAATCTCACCTCATCTCGAGATTCTACTGCTTGAGTTTCGGATGTCTTTGATTCAATCAAAAATTGAAAAAAATATCATCCGAAAACAGTTGACATTTATCAACAGTTTTTGGAGAAAATAATTAAATCGAGGCATAAGAGTGTGTATTAAACTCATGAACCATGTAAATAAAACATGTGTGCATGTAACTATGAGTGTGCATGTAACTATGCATAATTGCTTTTAGAGTAGGTCTTTACCATTATCCAAAAAAAGGGTGGCTTCATACTCCAGATAAGTCACTGTTCTCAGCAAGTGTGTTTAGCAAGTCTAGCACAGCATACAATGTACAGACTTACGTCCATTTTCTTTTTGTAGCCTTACTTTGCACTGCTTCATTTGTCAAATACCCCCTGTGACCAGCAAGCGTCACATGTTTTATCTTAGTGTCCTGCACTATCTAGACTTTTACTCTTGACTACCTTGTTTAGCATGGAACCCATGATGCCTAACAAATGCCTTCCTAAACCTTTGTAGCATTGTACCTTTGTGACTTTTACAACTGTGCTGTTTGTTCAGAGACCAGCATAAAGGAAATATTTTAGAATAAGTAAGGGGGGACAGAAGAGGAGGGTAAAAAGGACATTACAGTGCCCAAATACAATATATATATATATATATATATTTTTTTAAATACTGTTTAATAGATATTCCCCAAATTAAAAAAATAATTATACATTTTCCATTGGAGTATATCTAAAACAGTGTGCATAAGCTGTAAATCTCTTGTCTGCAGCTTTTACAAGCCCTCTCCTTCTAACCCCACCCAGACTTTCTGTGGCTGTCCAATCACAGACTTCCCAATGCAGCTCAATGAAAAGTCCTTAGCCAGGCAACTGCTCTGGATAATTACTGCCTCTTGAGATTAGCTCAACTGAGCTAACCAAACCAGGAAGTAACAGGACAGATTGTCTGATTGACAGCCAGAGGGGTGTATCAAGGTTAATTTATGAACATGATAATTTCTATTGAAATCTCCACTTTTTGTAAAATGAAAAAACATAAACACATGCTTCAAACATAAAGCATTTAAGCAAGCTTTAGGAGTGTCTCATTAAACAAAAATATGTCCCAGGGGCAATAAATCATAACAAAATTGAGCATTAAAATTTTATTAGCTAATTATTAGCTAACATCTCTCAATGCATAAAGATTGAGTTTGTCCCTATACATTTGGATAAGAGTGATGAGTAAAAATCTACATGATCACTTGTGCCCACTGACCTTCAGTAGTAAAGGTGTATTATGGGGAAGATAACAGCTAATACCGAAACATTTAAATATATTGCACCTGCCAAGAGACTGACATCCTGGAATATACAAGATAAAAGCTTCAGTATGAGATCTTTCTAAACACTAACCTCAATGAACATGTTCAGTATAGGACGTGTTAATACATATTTAAAGCAAACATTGCTTGCTTAAAGGAACACTTTAGTCACCTAAATTACTTTAGCTAAATAAAGCAGTTTTAGTGTATAGAGCATTCCCCTGCAATTTCACTGCTCAATTCACTGTCATTTAGGAGTTAAATCACTTTGTTTCTGTTTATGCAGCCCTAGCCACACCTCCCCTGGCTATGATTGACAGAGTCTGCATGAAAAAAAAAATGGTTTCACTTTCAAACAGATGTAATTTACCTTAAATAATTTTATCTCAATCTCTAAATTGAACTTAAAATCACATACAGGAGGCTTTTGCAGGGTCTAGCAAGCTATTAACATAGCAGGGGGTAAGACAATCTTAATTAAACAGAACTTGCAATAAAGAAAACCTAAATAGGGCTCTCTTTACAGGAAGTGTTTATGGAAGGCTGTGCAAGTCACATGCAGGGAGGTGTGACTAGGGTTCATAAACAAAGGGATTTAACTCCTAAATGGCAGAGGATTGAGCAGTGAGGCTGCAGGGGCATGTTCTATACACCAAAACTGCTTCATTAAGCTAAAGTTGTTCAGGTGACTATAGTGTCCCTTTAATAGAGCAGAGGAAATTTCTTTGAACAAGATCAACAGAGTTATAACTTAGTGGGCAATATCAGTGTTTTTATAGTCTCTAAGTAAATCCATAGACATAAATCACAAACATTTTCACATATTTGCACAGCCTGCAGAATGGATCACCACATTTGTGTTTTGAGATATTTGACTAATAGACTACACAAACATGTTCTAAACTAATTTACTTAGCAACACATTCAGACGTGGCAGAAGATAGACAAATGATTTGCAAGTAAAATGCAGAATTTGTATGTCTGCATGTGTCAGGACAAATAAGGGTTTTAAAGAATTTCTGCTCTTCAGGTATTCTTTTCTTTTTATTAACCTGTGTTGTGTTTCATGGATGTGCTATTAAATACAGAGTAAAAAGTATCTGATGCCTTTGGAATGGAAACATTATAAAGGTTTTCTTTTTTGTGAAATGTTATGGTTGTACAGTATTGTAAACTCCTGCTTCTAAAGCAAGCCTCTTGTTTTAAGCTGCACATACTAGAATTGTATGTATATGTGTATATATATATATATAAGTCCAAACTCTTGCACTCCAATCTCCAGTCAGAAAAATAAACCCTGTGCCAAGTAACACTGTTAAATACCTTATAGAAAAGACCGGGACTCCTGGCTTTATAATCAATGTGGTTATTTTATTGTTAGAGACATCGTTTCAGTTCCTCAACGGAACTTTCATTAGGACATAAAAGAACTGAAACGTTGATGTCTCTGGCAATAAAGGAACGACATTGATTATAAATCCAGGAGTGTCGGTCTTTTCTAAATAAGGTGCATATTTATATCAAAGACAAAACAAGATAAATGCTCTGGTATGATTTATTTATTTTCATTCATAACTATATTGCAATTTCAAACATCAATCAAAATGTAGTAGAGACCCAAGCTTGACAATTAGTCTTCCATTGCTGGTGGTCTTCTTTCTGGAAATATGCAAAAATACCAGGATTAATTTCTTTAGTGTATACATCGTCAGTAAAAGTTAAAGGTTAGGTCTTGTCTTTATATATATATATATATTAATTAAGACAATAACCATTTTAATTAATCTGTACAATACACATTAACTATCATTGACCTTTAAAGTTAATTAATTACAGACTGAAGACAATAAGTCTTTCATTAATAATAAGTATATATTGATCACAAGTTATGGCCAGCTGCATAAACTGCCAATACATTTGTTTATTATTATTATTATATTTAAAATAAAATCAAATAAGCAAGTAGTATAGATAAAATGAGGTGTAATATCAAAAGTCGGCAATGATTTGAAACATCTTGTATTGCTGTTAATTATCCGGCCTGTCAATTAGTGAGTTAAACATTTCATGATTTTAACCGACATGGAAAGAAACATTTAAGTAAAAAGGCTGAAACAACCTACCAGTTTCTTGTCTTAATTCCTTGTGGAGGTTTTTTCTCATTAGGCTTATTTTCCAAATGGATGCCACCAGCCTGAGGTCCTGGTTTTTGAGGTTTGTTTTGTTCTTGTCCAAAAGGTTTTCCCGAATTGTTTGATAAGCTAGGGACATTTACGTTTCCACTTCCCTGCAGAAAGATTTGGACGTACAGAATGATTCACTTAAAACAGATTAATTTAAACAAAATAGTCTTATTCTGCAGAGAAAACATTTTTTTCTATGGCCACTTAATTTAGGTTCATAAAAATAAACCTAGGAAACTTGAAAATGAAAGGTTTATTGATTAGGCAATTTGTTAGAGGGGCGGTATAAACACACACAGTAGTCATGCTGTACTGGGTTTGGTGACAGGAAACATCTGCGGAGTATGAAGATGCTGAGCATTGCTCCTGCCATTAAGGTGACATTAAACAGCAATTTAAACACTGTCTTTTCTGAGAAAAGGCAGTGCTCACACTGCTGAGCCTGCAGAGACAGGCTCTCTGCCTAAGGACCACTACAGTAAGCTGTAGCGGTTCTGATGCCTAACATGTCCCTTTAAACGTTAGATATATGAATTTTGATAGATAATAGACATCTTTTTGTATTCAGTGTTTTAAACAAGTTTGCAGATTTAATATTAAACAGCATATAGGAACTGGTCTCTCCTTTAACTAGCGATCTTGATAACTTTGCACATATTGTAGAAACTAATTTAACATAATTGCATTAATATTACAGTAATAACTGACTACAGTAAAATAGGAATGATATATTATTAAAATATACTCACGGTAACAAAGTTTCCTTGTGGTGGGACATTACTGGTTTGTGGTACCACTCCAGCAGTGTTAGCGATAACAGACCTACGATATCTCCTTTTGCCACCATTATCATTTTCATTTGGACGTTGATGAGGAGGAAATCTTGGCCCATTTAGAGGTCTGTTTGGTGCGTTATCTAGTGGCTTGTTTCCGATGACATTAGGTAAGGGTTGGGTGTTTCCTGAGACATTGAGTTGGCTTGACAGCAATTCTGAGATATTGAATTGACTTGAGAGTAATTCTTTGATTTGGGGTGGAAGCAATTCTAAGAGTTGGCGTGGAAGCAATCCTGAGAGTTGACTTGGAAGCATTCCTGAGATATTGGGGAAGTTTTTGAGCAATTCTGAGATACTGCTTTGGCTTTGGAGCAATTCTGAGATATTAAGTTGGTTTACGAACGCGTTTGAAATATTTAACTGACTTAATGCTAGTAGGGCATTGGATAGATTTGAGACTATTCCTGAGAAATTGGACTGGCTTAGAGACTGTTCAGGGATGCTTTGTTGGCTTGGAGATACACCTGAATTACTCAATTGGGGCTGCACATTTAAGTGAGGTTCGCCGGGTTGAGAATGTGAATTACTGAATTGGGGTTGCACGTTTAATTGAGGTTCGCCGGATTGAGAATGTGAATTCCCAGCAGGTGCAGGTATATTAGGACGGCCTGGTCTGACATCATTACTTTCTGTAAATAGATTGAGAATTAGAGAAATAGAAATTTAAAAGAACCCTACACCAACTCTCATAAGTTACACATAATAAATAAATTAAATATGTAAGTGTATTCTATTGGAACATGTTGGCATTTTTTGTCAATGTAGCCTCACAAAATGCAACAAGAGTATATCATTGTTTGTGTATCGGGAAAATACCCTATATACAGTAAACACAGCTACATAACTTAATATGAGGAATTTGCAACATAAAGTTTTTTTTAGCCTGGATATAAGACTTACTCAGAGTGGTATCCCTCCTCCTCCTTGTCTGGCTACTAGAATACAGTCACTGTAGTTTTTGAGAATCTTGTATGCAACAAACAGTGTGGAATGAGGTGGGATCAGGCTTTTATAATTTCTCTGCTTGATACCGAGGAACAGATTTGAGTCCCCATTAAGAAGTTTATTTCTGGATTTGGGCCAGTTGGGTTATCGTATGAATTCCCAAAATCTGACCCAAAAGCAATGGTCGAACGTGTTCGTTTTGATTCGTGATTCAGAATTCCGCCCAAATTACCAAAAGATAATTGATAGGAATAAAGTTGATTGACGACTAGTGAATGATCACTAACATGGTTAGTCACTAAAGTGAGAATTTAAAGTGAATTTAAAATTTATTTGAGGTAAATTTCAAATTTCTGGTCACATTAGACAAACTGGAAAAATACTCACTTTGAATTCTCACTTTAACTCTGAATTCTCAATAATTGAAAGTGAATAACCCTGTAAATGCTGATTTTATCCACAGATCAAGTAAATAAAAGAAGTGAGCAATAAAGGGAAAATAGGGGGAGCATTAAAAACATCTATATTTTTATATTAATATTTATTATTATTTTTTCTCAATCTGTGAAACAAATCTCAGGAAAATATATTTTTCAGTGCACTGGTTTACCCATTTTTGTGCCTTTTGAGTGTTCCTCAAGATTGTAAGGTAATTCATGGACTTTCGCTTTAAACTTTTTCGAGGTCAAAATCCCAAATAGATATTTTTGGTTAGTTTATAATTAACTTGAAAAAATTATACCAAAATTGTCTTACTGTAACTTAGAAATAAAATCCTTGATCAAGTGGAGTTGGACATTTTTTTGCAAACTCTGATAATTTGGCATAAATAGTACAAGTCAGTTGTGTGCGCTACGCAAATATTATTTTAGTGAATAGAACCGTAACATAAAATAGAGTGTAAGCTCACAGGCAGGTGTCACAATACTTTTTGTAATCTAAATATTTTACTGTGTTACTGTCCATATTTCTGAACTCGTACTGCACTGAAAATGTTGTTGGTGCTTAACAAATAATCTTTTATAGTAATATTAAAAGTTATGGACTCACCAGGTCTTCTGTTGGGTAGAGCGAAGGCCTGGACTACCAGGGAGAGGAGAATTAGGATTTTCATTTCGTTCAGGTGCTGTACCAATAAGAGAAGCAGGTCTGCTCTGTAAGGAAGATGCTATTGCCGGCTATATATAAATCCCTGCAAAGGGCACTCCCTGCTGTATGTCACAGATCTTATGATTAGCAAGGACGGATGGGTGGAGAGACGAGCATGAGAATGCAAAAAAAAAGGTTAAATATCAAAGACAAAAAGCAGTTTAAAAGGATAGTCATATTGTCATTATGTACATTGTTATCACAACTATGTACACACTGCTGTTTCCATCCTGCAAGTACTTTGAGTCTCCGTCTGCTTTATACAAAATAATGGTGACATATGACTTGAGTTAAATTTTTTTATTTCTTTTATATATCAGTACAAAATGTTTGCATAAAGACATACATTAAACATTCCACATATTTAACTATAATATTATGTGTCTATATTATAGACCTATTCTATATATGTTTCTAATGAAGCTAGACAGATACATAAGACATAAACGATAACATATACAGGTTCTCGTGAGCACGGAGTCCAAGCCTTGTATTAAAATTTTACTAATTAATTCACAGATTTTACTATTACCATGACGTAAAGTCATGATTTTATTAATGACACGGAGGCGAGTATTATGCTGCACTCTTTCTTTATTTCCCTCAGCAGCAAAGAAAAAACTTTATAACCATAACCAATAGTAACATTAACAGTCTCAGGTGTAATCTTCCTAGTAACAGGAACAGCCAATCAGGATCAACTTCTCCAGCATAATAGGCTCTGTCAACCAATCCTGTTCCTCTTTATTTGCAATCCCGAAGAAGTAAAATTATCCAATAAAACGTTGAACTGCATAGAACATGATTTTCCCAGAATAGATGGGCAGATTATGCTGTAAGAGAGGAAAAATATGGTAATATCTTTGCATAAAACTTAGTGTATGCATAGTCATAGGTATTCAAGATAGTGTTTGGTCAGTGTTGTGTCCAAGTGAATATTGTTGTGTAACCTATACATGTGGGTGTCCAGATAGGTAAGCAGTGATCGTAACTAAGACTTACCTTGATCTAAGTACAACTGTAATGTAACCATCTGGCGATTACAACTGTAACAACTAGACATGGTAAAATGACTTACCGTAGGTCAACTTACCCAACTTCCGTCTATCCTTCCCCCGTCGCCGGGTGGGAGGGATAATACTCGCCTCCGTGTCATTAATAAAATCATGACTTTACGTCATGGTAATAGTAAAATCTGTGAATTTTATTAAGACACGGAGGCTCCTATTATGCTGGTTTAAAGCTGAGAAACTACCGTTCCTGCAAAGTGGTGTATTGGTTTGAAGTAAAAGTCACGGAAGGTAGATTCTGAAGACCAGTCGGCTGCTTTCAGAATGTCTTCCAGGCGACAACCCATCGAAGAGGCTTTTGAAGCCATTGCTCCTCGTATGGAATGTGGTGAAAATATGGAAGTGTCTATGCCTGCCGTAGCCATGATCCATTTGACCCAGCGAGCCAGGGTCGTGGTAGACACAGGTAGGTGTGGTCTCTGGAAGGAGATGAAGAGTTCATGCCTAGACGGGTCCCGCAACGCCTTGGTGCGAAGTTCATAGGTTCGCAGACATTGAACTGGACACAAGCGAGGTTTGTCAGGAAAGGCTGGATATGTCACCTTCTTCGTAGAGGTTTTTGTTCTCCGAGATATATCGAAAGCGACCCCTTCCGGAGTATAAGACCGTGCGGTGACGTCTAAGGCTCTAACGTCTGATACCCGTTTGCAGGATATGAGACATAGTAGTATAACCAGTTTCGCCGACAGGTGTTTCAGAGATAGTGTTGCGTTATCTGGCCAAGATTCGAGGAGGTTGAGGATGATGGAGACGTCCCACAGTACGGAATAGCGTGGTAGCGGAGGTCTTGTGAATCTGATGCCGCGCAAGAGTCGGCATATCAGTGGATGGCGTCCTATCGGTGCGCCCTCGATGCCTTGGTGTGAGTTTGAAATGGCCGATCTGTAGAGGTTCACCGTGCGATATGCTTTGCCGCTTTCAAACAAGGAGGTTAAGAATTGCAGGATCGAAGTCAGAGGAGCTGATATGGGATCCAAATTCCGTTCCATGCACCAATCGTGCCATTTGCGCCAAGCAGATTTATAAGCTTGTCTCGTGCCGGGTGCCCATGCGCTCTCGAGAAGTTGGAGAGTCGATTCCGAAACTCCTTCGATTGAGTAGGGTTCCCGGAAATCAGCCACACCATGAGGTGTAATAAGTCTTGCTGAACCAGGGGGTGGGGGGACCCGTCCGGGTCTCGAAGTAGGTAATCGAAGTGTGGGAGAGTACGGGGTACGTCTATCGCCATCTCCAACAGGGAAGGAAACCATGGTTGAGACGGCCATAATGGCGCCACGAGCACTGCCGTTCCCGTCTGTCGCCGTAGTTGTAGTAGGCAGCGGGGAATCAACGCAAAGGGAGGAAACGCGTAGTTCCTTTCGGAGGACCAGTCCTGAGTAAAGGCATCTGTTGCCAGCGCTGCCGGGTCCGGTCTCCAGCTGAAAAATCTGGGGAGTTGGGTGTTCAAACGGGAAGCGAACAAGTCCTTGTCCAGAGGACCCCATAGGGACTGGATGTCTTGGAAGACCCTGGGTTCCAGGTGCCAGTCGCTGGAATCCCTGAGGTGCCTTGAGTACCAATCCGCCGTGGTATTGTTGAGGCCCGGAATGTACTCTGCTGTGACCGAAATGCCGTGTGCCAGGCAAAATTGCCAAGTCTCGTGCCAAATTCGCCAGGACCTTCGATTTCGTGCCGCCCAAGTGATTTATATAACGGACTGCCGATACATTGTCCATCCTCAAAAGGATGGCACATCGGGCTTGAGTTGGAGAAAAACTGCGGATTGCAAAAGAACCGGCCAGGAGTTCTAGGCAATTGATGTGAAGCGTCGACTCCACTTCGGCCCACCTGCCACCGGTAGAAACAGTGCCACAGCGTGCGCCCCAGCCGTGCAAGCTCGCATCGGATTCTATGATCATATCCGGTTCGGTACCGAAAATGGCTCGGCCATTCCAGGCGTCCATATGGGATAGCCACCATCTGAGTTCTGTCTTTGCTTCTGTATCCAGAGCGATCATGTCCGTGTATGCGGTCCCGTCTCTCAAATGGGAGGCTTGTAGGCGCTGTAGCGCTCGATAGTGTAAAGGGCCCGGGAAAATGGCCTGTATGGAAGCCGCCAAGAGGCCGACCACTCTCGCCAATTGTTTTAGGGAGATCAGGGGGGTCGTCAGAGTACGCCTGATTTCCTTCTTCATGGTGGACAGTTTCGCTGCCGGCAGTTGTAGGGTCTGTAGAGTGGAGTCCACGATGAGGCCCAAAAACTCTATGTGTCGTGTAGGGGTTAGGATGGATTTTTTCCAATTGATAAGGAAACCCAAATTTTGCAAAAGAGTCTGAGTCCATGACAGATGGGTGTCGAGAATGTGGTTGGAACGACCCATGATAAGGATGTCGTCCAGGTAGATTATGAGACGAACCCCTCGACTTCGAAGCAGAGCCACGACGGGCTTCATAAGTTTGGTGAAACACCATGGGGCTGAGGACAGACCATATGAATTGGAGGAAGTCCTGGTGCTGACGTGCGATTGGTATCGTAAGATAGGCGTCCTGCAGGTCTAACTTGACCATCCAGTCCAACGCTTGGAGGAGATCTCGGAGGCAGTGTATGCCGTCCATTTTGAAGTGGTTGTAGGCCACAAAAGTGTTGAGCTGTTTCAAGTTTATAACTGGGCGGACGCCGCCGCCTTTTTTGGCAACTAAGAATAGGTTGCTTACGTACCCTGGGGTAGCCATGGGGATCTCTAAGATGGCCCGTTTGTGTGCCAATTCTGCGACCTCCTTGGTTACAAGGGAGGCGCCTTGGTGAGAAAATAGCATGCCCCGTGGCGGGGCGAGTTGTATCGGGAGGGATATGAACTCTAAGGTGTACCCTCTGACCGTGTTCAGTACCCAAGCATCTGTCGAGATGTGTGACCATACATGGGAAAAATGTCGGAGTCTGCCCCCCACTGCCCATAGGGAAGAAGGAAAGAGGAGAGTACTTACCATAAGGTCATCTGCCTGGGCGGGAGCCACGTGGTCCCCGAGCCACCCATGGTCGCCCACGTTGTGGGAAGAAAACCGGGGCGTTGCGGTGCTCCGTGAAGGAGGCATGTCCAGTGTAGGAGCCACGGCTCTGTCGGAACGAGCCCCTATTGACACGGCCGGACAGACGGCTCCTGGCTCTTCCGGCCCCACCAAAAACCTTTGGCTGGAAAATCTTGCGCGTGCTTGACTGCGCTTTGTCTAGGGCAGTGAAAGTGTGAACAAAGGAGCCAAGCTCCTTGACAAAGTTGTCTCCGAACAGGAGGCCACGGGCCTGGGCGCCCGGTTCGGTTATAGCCATGTTCACCAGTTTTGGTTCTATCTTTAATAAAATCGCTTTGCGACGCTCTGTGGCCACCGCACAGTTGGCATTGCCGATCAGGCAAATCACTCGTTGTATCCAACCACTTATGGCGGAACGATCTAATTCTTGGTCACTTTCGACCATATCAAAAATTTTTGTTGCCGGGCCCAATATGTCTAAAATCTTGTCCTGGCAGTTGCGCAGGGAGAAATCAAGGCCCTTATTAGGCTTCCAGCCAGTCTTGCCCAAGAATTGAATGATTTTTGGGTCAACTGCAGGTGTTCTGCAGGCCTCGTCAGGGACAGTGGGGCGTGGGCATTCTGCCCGCAATTTGCTTCGTGTCACCTTATTTAAAGGTTTGCGAGTCCGCGATGCCACGTATTTGGCCACATGGGCCGAAGGTGACCAGTCCGCTGACCTTGGATGACGTAGGTCATCGGGGTCGAACAGAGGTTCCCCGTAGGGGTCAACTAATCTGGTGGCATCTTATGGCACTTTAAGCTCCATGTCATACGACTCAGATGGAGGTGCAATCTGTGTACTCGGGTCATGGTCGTCGACCATACCCTCTGATTGGGGATCTGATGGATCCTCCGAATCCATATCAGTGACCTCTTCAATCTCGCTGAGATCAGACTCAGATTCTAGTTGGGCTTTTGCCCGCTTCCATAACCTAGCCGATTTTGCCCGGCTAGTGGCTCTTTTGCGCGGTGGTATATTAGGCGCGCCATCTGTGACAGGTGTGTAGCTGTCCATCTGTGAGATTGAAGAGTGTTTAGTTTTTGCAGTGGCCTTGCGGCCAACGTGAGGTTGGGAAGGGGTTACTGCAGGCAAAGCCTGGGAAGCGACCGGTTGGGTCGACTTTTGTGCCCCAAGTATAGCGTGAGTAATAGTCTGTGACAGAGATTCAGACATCAGTCCCATTGCTGATGTGAGGGCCTTAGTCACCACATGGGACATGGTGTTGTCAAACATAAGCTGCATATCAGCAGTAGATTCAAAATCAGCGAGGTTAGTTGCACCAATTTCAGGTACCCCTGGGGTAGTTTTAACAGACCCCAAATTATTGATAAGAGACCCAGAGGGTACATCTTTATCCCCAGGCATGTTATGTATACCACTGGCCCTTTAAATAAATGAACTGAGTTGACCTAGATGGGTTGAGTAACCCAAAGGGGGAATATACCTTTAAAAGAAAATAAGTACTCACAAAACAATAAGCACAATTAAATGAGACAGGTGAGGAGGGGGGCAAGGAGCCGTCCGACCGCCACTGTAGCTGCAACCCAACTCCGAGGACCGGGAGTTGGGGGTGGAGCTACGTGCCGCGCGCGGGAAAAACAGAAAATGGCCGCCGGAGCAGTGCAGAGGAGGCAGAGAGTCCGGTAAGCCCTGCTCGCGGCGAAAATGTGTAGCGCTCAGCGCGCACAAGTACGCCGCGAGCAGGGAGCTGATAACTGAGCTCAGTGAGCTCTGTAGTCGGCGGTCGGGCACGGCAGGAGGGCGCGAAGCGCCGGGTGCAGCTCCAGCCGACGTCCCCGAGCCCCTGCAAATTAGGCTCTGAGGGGCGATCGGCTGGAGCGGGGAAAAAACTTAAAGGGGAAATTCAGCAGAATAAAATAATAAAGGGACAACTATGAAGGATGTCCCTAGAAACGTTTTCTACAGTAGCACATCAATTATACCAAGTAAAAGGTAATAAAGTAACACATATAAAAAATTAACACTAGAAAATTAATACTATAAAATTAATGCTATAAAATCAATACTATGAAATGAATGCTAGGAAATATTAATATAATATGAAAGTAATTCAATATAAAGTAATTCAATATAAAACTAATCCCACAGTTAAGGAGCCTGAGGGATCAGATATACTTAACTGAGGGAGCAGCAAAGAAAGAGGAACAGGATTGGTTGACAGAGCCTATTATGCTGGAGAAGTGGATCCTGATTGGCTGTTCCTGTTACTAGGAAGATTACACCTGAGACTGTTAATGTTACTATTGGTTATGTTTATAAAGTTTTTTCTTTGCTGCTGAGGGAAATAAAGAAAGAGTGCAGCATAATAGGAGCCTCCGTGTCTTAATAAAATCTATTTTATTATAATATAACATACAACGTTATAACATGAAATTACGTGTATTAAGAGAACATTATACAATGTTCTATTTTACCATTTAATGGTTTTAAAGCTAGAATTAATAGCTTTTGTTGTCTTTTGATTTGCATATGTAATACATGGAAAGTGCAAAATATGTGTTGTGACATAGAATAGCGGAAAAGAAGTATCAAACACAAACACATTATTGTGCATTTTTATTTTTGTAGCCGTACCAGATATCTCATACAGCTAGCCTGGCTTGGTCTGGCTTGGTCTATACCAGCTTTGCACATACACATCATGCATTGTAAGCCATTTCTTGGCTATGTTGCTCAGACTTGTCATTGTGAACACAACCTTTTAAGTCTTCATTAAATTCTTGATCAGACTGGATCTGAGTTTTGTTGCTGTAATTCCAAGACATTTAGGTTGTTGCGTTATGTCATGATGATCCAGTTTCATCTCATTCACAGCTTTGCAGATTCAAACCTACTTTCAATGAGGTATTACTGCCCTCAGCACCAGTGCTGCTATCAGAAATTTTGGGCGCCCTTAAAGCTCAAGGCTTAGGCCCCCGGGATTTGCCCTCGTGGTCCACTCAGAGTCTGCCTATAAGGATGCAGTGTGTGTGTAGAGTGGATGCATTGTGTGTGTAGAGTGGATGCTTTGTGTGTGTAGGGGATGCAGTGTGTGTGTGTGACAAGGAACAGTGTGTTCCCCATAAACTTAGTACATTTGGCACAGCCAACAAGGAATCCTGTTAATCTCTTGTTCACTCATGATTAATGCCAGGACCAGAAGTTTCCCAGCAGAAGGTGCATCACATGCATCAATGAGCCTTGGGTGACTTAATGCCAGTCTACCCGTTGTCCTTCCTTTCACCACTTGTGGTATGTATGGAATGCGTTTTACTTCACCTGTCAGTGGTTTTAATGTTGCGGCTGATCAGTCTTTATACAATTTATAGTTTTATCTTTCATGTATTATTTACCGAATAACTGCCTCTGTGACCGCATTAGAGTTTGCCAGCTCTCCTCGAAGACATTTTATACAAGTGCATTAGTTTAAACAGAATCTCATTATATTATATTTTATTATTCACATATTACTCCATTGAACTAATTTCTTTTTGTAGTTCTCTTTTTTCCCTTGTCCAAATATATTGATACACAATAGAAACATATAAAGCTTCAATATTGCAGCTATTCAACTGAAGCTGAATTTAATTTACAAAGATAATGCTGGTAAAAGAAATATTGTAGCTAATCATTCAAATTTAATAAGTGATAATTACTAAACATTTTGGAAAAATCTGTTAATTTTTCCTCATTGCCATTTTTGTCATTGACTTCTATTCACATGACTTCCTAAAAATCTGTAACCTTAGCCTTCTCTCAATCATAGTGTCCACCTTCCCCGCCTGAGTATTTTGGCCAGGTTAGGGTTCTGGAAGGGTAAATTCTAGATGATATAGTAAATCTGCAAAAACCATCCACTCTAAATCCAAATGGAAACACAAAGGAAAGTGTCTATAAAAGAAGGGGGTCTCACAAGGAAAGAATAAGGATTGCGCTGTAAAAAGAAAGAATGGAAGGGCTAAAATGAATTATAAGGTGAGATTCAAGGTGACCTTCACGATGTTCCTATACTGTGTAAGGAGAGGGGTAGAATACAGATGGAGTGATGGTTGTGTGTGAAGTCTGCTGGGTAAAGAGGTGTAAACTGAGTGGGGATGTGCCTATGGGTAAATGGGGGTATAGGTAAAGTGGGAGTTTGTTAGCATTTATGGTGCATTCATAAACTGGATAAACAGTGTGTGTATTGTTTGGGGGTTATAATTGATAATGTTTGGATGTGACTGTAAAAGGATATGAGGTATAGACAGGTGAGGAATGAAGAAGCAGCAGGACCCAAACTTTCAACAGAAATCTTGAGGCTCCTTTGCACACACTCCTAAACTTTTCTCCCCCCCCGGAGACACACACATTCCCAGACAAATACATATGAATACATAAACCCAAACTCTGGTAAACACTCCCAGACAGACAGACAGATACAAACACACAGACACACACCTCTTCCTATCTAGCTACCTAACTACCTATCTATCTATTGCTGTTATTTTTTGCTACCTTGCTGTATGCCTATCTTTTGAGCATTGGAGAGTAGTTTCCATGGTGTCTAGAGTAGCTTTACATCTCTCCTTACTCTCTCACGTAGAGTCTTTAGATTGGCTACTCATAGTTGCAAGGGGTGCTGTCACTGTGGTCTGGTAACGGGGCCCTCGATGTGCTCTGATTAGGGGAGAAATTTCTATCTACACAACTGTATGCATAGTGTTACCTTGCCTAGTGCAGTCCCCATATTAAATACTACCCTTGCCAGTACTGTCCATATAGACCCTGTATCTAAGAGTAGTGACTTGACCGGGTCCCCATTTAAAAAAACATTTCCAACAATGGAAAATTGGATTAAATAAAGTCAATCAAAAAAATCAGCGTTTCTCTGTATTTTTACTTTTTTCTTGTAATTCTCAGTTTATTCTCGCGTCTGACTCTCTGGGCTCTGGAGAACTTCCATAACATTCACTGAATAGTCGAATGTTAGATATCTACCATAAATCTACTTAAAACTTGATTTACTACTTTTTCGGTCATCTCTGAATGTGAGTTACTATAAATAATGGAACTTGTGAGATACTTATTGTCTCATGCATTGTTAGCATTTCTCATGGCTCTCTAAAAAGTCGGCCTGATTTCTCTGCACAATAGTATGATGCATGTGTCATGCATTAAATATTAATTATTTATGTTTGCTTATGTAATGTTTGCGGAAGGAATACTTCTGCTATCAATCAACCTTTCTGGAAAACATATATATTTCCACTTCACTGCTTTATTTCCAATTCTATCCTGAAAGTTAGATATGTTTTTTTAATCAATGCTGGTAATCTTCCTTGCATTTCATTTTTTTGTAAAATGGACACTCTGGGAACCATAACAACTTCATTGTAATTAAATTGTTATTGTACAAGTAGCTCCCGGGTGCCAGCTTTCCTGAAAGAGTTTAACTGTTAATGAATAAAACTCCAAAGTCTACAAGCAGGTGTTTAATCGCTTTGCTCCTGCTCTCCCACTCAATGTCTCAGGTTTGGAGTTGTCGCCGCTTATAAGCTGATAGAATCAGCTACCAGTAGCTCCTCACTGAGAAAAAAAAGGGAAAAAGTAACAAATCTTTTTCACTCACTTTTCTCAATAGGGGAGTTAACTTGAGAGTCTCAGCTGTTGCTCTCAGCGGTACCTGGTGGAAAGCTTCGTGATTGAAACCTCGAACATTTAGTAGAAGTTCATGGGCAGATCGATCGAATGCCAGTTTGAAGACTATGGGGTTAAACTATTTTTAAACCATTAAAAATTGGTTTAACCCCTTTAGGTAAGCCGGCACCTGGACTTCTTCGTACCATAACAACTTTATTATGAAGAATTTGTGATGGTATCCAGACAGGTGAGACAGCTTAGGTAATATAACTTCAGATCATGTCTCTTGCAGTTACAAATTAATTCCATGTAAAGGTCAACCCAAGCTAGTTGACAAGTTTAACACTTCATGCCATCTGCATTTATTAACAACATTACTTTGAGGTGTCCATTTCTAGTGTTAGTGTAAAGTTGGCAGTTAATTTTCTTACACAATATGTCAGCACTTTATTTTTGGGCATGACCCCCATAACATATAGATAAGTGGAATCTACCACCCAGAGAGGGCCCTGCACAAAAATAAAACATCCAAGAAGAACATGTCTGTAATGGGAGTGAATAAGCTTAATGGACTAAATTAGCGGTTCCCAAACTTTTTAGGTTCAAGGTGCCTTTAATATTTCAATATTTTTCCAAGGCGCCCCAAGTCAAAACACATTT